ATACGGCAAGCACCTGTGCGTGGTATAGCCCATCCTCACACCAGCACCAGCACTATCGTTCCCATTTTTCAGATGAGAAAATAGAAGTTCAAAAAAGTTAAGAAGCTTGCCTAAGGTCACACAGCTACTAAGTGACAAGCCTCAGTCTGGGTACGCCTCTAGCATATCCCTTACGATACTTCACTGTCATAGAAACAGACACAGCACAATAAGGGAACTATCTTTTTGTTGTTGTTGCAGTTTGGCAGGGAGCAGGTTCAAACCCGCCACCCTCGGTATATGGGGCTGGTGCTCTAGTCACTGAGCCACAGGGCGCCACCGCCAATAAGGGAACTATCATGCACAGTGCTTAGTACTTGTGTTTGTTGAATGCATGAGTGACAACCTTAGGCTGTCAGAAAGAATGAGCCTAGGGTTGTCACTCTTAAACATTTTCTCCCTCATAATAAAGGGGATCAGAACTGAGGAGGGACTCAAAACTTGTCAGCAAAAAAACTTATCTACTTATGGGTCAGAGTGGGTTCTGGAGCCTGGCTACTCTGCTGCTTTCTAGTCCTAAAGCCTTCCGCAAGTTACTTAACTGCTCTGAGCTGGTTTCTTCATCTGTAAAATGAGACTTGCAGAATCCCATGTGGATAAGTGCTTAGTTGGGGTGACTACCACCCAGTAAAAGCACTCAGTAAATGTTAGCAAGGATTTTATCCACAGCACCAAAGACACCTACCTATCCCGCAAGCCACAAGTTACTACGTCTGCTCCAAAAGCAGTGAGATCTTGGCTTGAGGGTCAGACACTTAGATTTGAATTTCAGGTCTGCCTCTCTCTGGTTGTATGATGTGAAACAAATGCCAATATCCATGGATCATAGATATAAATGAATATCCATGCTTCATAAGGTTGTTGTGAATATTGGAAATGTCACCTACAAAGTACCCTTCATATCTTAGTTACAAACCTAACTACAATTGTTAAAAGCACAGTTGGGGAAATTAAACTTAAATGGTGTTTAGACCCATCTGGAAACTCTGTTATCAGGATGGGTGGGCTGGGAGACCAAAGGCAAGGAGGCCCTCCTGGGGCATGTTTCAACCAACCATGCTGGCAAGGAACCAGAGATGTGAGGGGCACTGAAAGTGACAAAAAGAATCGATCCCTGGTAAGATAAAGTATCATGGGCAGTCACAGACTCTGGATCCTTGGCCCCAGCTGCTGTTCATGCCTACTGATCCTCTTGACTCTGGCGACAGTAAGTTAGTGGCATTTGAGAATGGTGTAATCTCAGAAATAGAGATTATAGTTTAGCCCCCTTCATTCAACAGATAAGGAACAGGGCTCAGAGAGGGGAAACCTGTGTAATCCCAGCAGCCCTCTTGGCTGGGATTCTGGTCTTCAGGGTAAGGTCCTTTACAGCACTTGTTATGGTATGTGAGTTATTACAAAAGTTTTGAGATACACAAAAATCAAAAAACCTAAAATCCATATATGCATGGAACAAATGAAGTCCTCCCAACAACACCAATAAGCTGAGCAAGCTTGCCCAGGGGAATCTGAAAGGACACTGTTGCCTGTGTAACTTGGAAGTGAAATAATGAATCATACCACAGCATGTCTCAAAACTTTTGTACTGACTCGCATATTCCATACTGCATTATGGTTTCAGAGGATCTGAGCTATTAAAAGCTTCTTTCCACATAGTATCTATTATGACACAGGATAGAAAATGTGCTAATCTTCAGAATCCACTGGTAAAGGCCAGGAATCTGTTCCCCAGGGAAGAATTCACCCAGAAGACTATCCAGAGAGGAAGGAAAATGTAAAGGGAGCACCTCACACAGGGGCGGGGAACCCATGACCTTCTGATTTCAAGGTAGTTCTTTTTTAAGCACCAAAGGAGGCAAGAAAAGTTCTCTGCTACACCCAATGGACTTGTTTTGTAAACTTTGGGTTCAACAGAATGGCCACACTTAAGGCCGCATGGGGCCTTAAGACCTCAGGTTTCCTACCCCTGGAGGTTGCTTTACCACCCAGGAGTTGTAAACAGGAACACCCTGCTCCCACAGTTGGAATGGATGCCACACTTGGTAATGAAGAGTTCCTAGCTCATATGAGGCACAGGAGGTAGTACCTCTGACAGGGATGGGATGCATTTGTGTTGATTCAGATATATCTAGAAAGCTTTACAATGCTCTAGGAGTGGCTGTCACCATTTTCATAAACACCTGCCCCTAAAGACTGGGGATAAACAAGGACCTGGCCTTACTAAAAATAAAAGTAGTGAAATAAAGAACATTTTAAGATTTGAAAGACTCAGAACATTTGTTTAAGAGATGAGGATTAAAAAACACAGTAGGATTTGAAATGTTCCCAACAAAAAGAAATGATAAATGTTTGAGGTAATGGATAAGCTATATCCTGATTTGATCACAGCACATTGTATGCATATATCAAAATATCACACATACTCCATAAACATGTATGATTATGTATCAATAAAAAGAACTTTAAAAAACTAAACACCCACAGTAACTGCCTGACCACACATATCCAGACTTTAAAAGGCAAGTAGGTTTTCTTCATCCAGGGTAGGCCTAAATGTGAGGTTTAAAAGGTCTGGGGAAGGGAGGAGGAATGACTGCTAAAGAGCATGAGGTTACTTTTCAGGTGATAAAGATGTTCTGGAATTAGACGGTGGGGATGGTTGTATAACCTTGTGAATGTGCACTTTAAAACAGCTGAAATGAGGCCGGGTGTGGTGGCTAACACCTGTAATCCCAGCACTCTGGGAGGCCAAGGTGGGTGGATTGCCTGGAGTTCAAGACCAGCCTGAGCCAGAGCAAGACCTCATCTCTAAAATAGCCGGGTGTTGTGGGTGCCTGTAGTCCCAGCTACTTGGGAGGTTGAGGCAAAAGAAGCACTTGAGCCCAAGAGTTTGTGATTGCTGTGAGCTGTGACTCGATAGCACTCTACTGAGGGCAACAAAGTGAGACTCTGTATCAAAATAAATGAATAGGCTCGGCGCCTGTGGCTCAAGCGGCTAAGGCGCCAGCCACATACACCTAAGGTGGCGGGTTCAAATCCCCAGCCCGGGCCCGCCAAACAACAATGATGGCTGCAACCAAAAAATAGCCGGGCGTTGTGGCGGGCGCATGTAGTCCCAGCTACTTGGGAGGCTGAGGCAGGAGACTCGCTTGAGCCCAGGAGTTGGAGGCTGCTGTCAGTGTGATGCCATAGCACTCTACCCAGGGGGACAGCTTGAGGCTCCGTCTCAAAAAAAAAAAAATAAAATAAAAATAAATAAATTAATAAAATAGCTCAAATGGCAACTTTTATATTATGTGAATTTTACCACAATAAAAAGACATTTTAGGGGTGGCCCCGGCCCCATATGCTGAAGGTGGCAGGTTTAAACCCAGCCCTGGCCAAAAAATGCAAAAAAAAAAAAGCCACTTTAGTATTTATAATAGGATTTGACTCTAGGTCAGAGCCATCCTAGGGAAGGGTGACAAACACTGAAATGACTTGCAGGGAGATCAGAGTTTGAAAACACACATCTTTCTGTCCCAGAAGTGGAATTCTGCCAAATCACCAACTAGATAAAGAGGAAAAATCAGAGGATTTGATTACTATTTTGTTGAACTTGCTGGTTGCCTTTGTTCACAGGTTGGCTAACAATTGGTGTCACCTTTATAAATTATCAGTGCATTTTAAATAATTATAATAAAAAACCCCTTTTGTGTGCAAAGTTTATTTCATGCATTTATACGGAGGTGTAACAGAGTGTTTCAACATGTGGCATTTGTGCAGAAGAACATCAGAAACTCATTTGTTAGGGTGACTGCCTCTGCCCTCTATATTAAAGCGCACGTGTAGAAAAACAGTTTCTAAATCTAAGGCACCCTGCTCTAAGCTATAACAAAGGTATAGAACTTAGAGTAGAAAAGAACTAGGAAATCAGAAAAATTATTACCTCTTTTTACTAATCCAAGACTAGTGGCCAAAAGGAACACTGGCTTGCTTCCAACTATATGCAATTTAACACTGAAACTCATTAGCATTAAGATAATTAACTTGGATTGAGTTTTATGGAATCCTATATCCTGTGTGTATACATACGTGTGTGTGCATATCCATGTGCGTATTTGTGTGTCTATCATGGGGACTGAAGAACAACACTAAGCCTGTACTCACAGGCACCAATGGCTAGAAAAAGACAAGCAAATTTTGGTTACGTATCTCAAGCCCAAAACTCAGAAGGACAGGACTAGAGAACAGCAGCAGAAAAATACTTTAAACATTAAACATTTAGAGGAATTGAACATATTCCAAGAGACATTAGCTAGGAATTAAACATATTCCAAGAGACATTAGCTAAGTAATGTTTTATGTACACAATAAAAATACTACATGTTTTTGTAAATAACTCCCAAAATGTACTTTAAAAGGAAATGACAAGAAAAGTGAAAGATGCTCAAATATTATACCTTCAGAGACTCCCAGCGTTTGAGGGTATCACTGCCTGCGCACTCACTGGCAGAGATGACAACAGAGCTAAAAATATACATATGAAATGGCAAAATACAATTTACTGTATTTTGCAACCTTCATTATTGTATATTTGAAAGAATCTAACACAGCTGTGGTGAGTAATCTTGAGTCCCTTGCATAATCCATTATGTTCTCTACAACATCAAATGTGAGATTTTAGTTGTTCCAATTAATGTTATTGGTAAACAGAAAAAACATTACTTTAAGATTTCAAATATATACTCAAAGAGAGTTAGTCCTTCAATGAGATTCTTTTAGAAACTTGACAGTTACCATTTTAGAAAAGCATCCCTGATGAACACTCACTCCAGCACACACATTGGTAGGAAAACATAAGAATGAGAGACAATCATGATTTTTCAAGGAAAACAAATCAAAATGACTATTTACTCAGAAGTCTTGCTTAGACACAAGAGAATAAGATGATATAAACATCTTCTGAGATGTATGTCAAAGTGATCTTTTGATATTTTCCTTTTTGTTGTTGTTGTTTTGATGGTCATTTCCTTTGCCAGGTTCAAGTCAGAAGCAGGAAAATTTTGGAAGACGGACCTGGGAGTCTGGGAGTCGAGCTACTTGGAGTAGGTGTATCAATCTCCCAGACTGCACGAAGTTTAGTCATCTGACCAGAAGTAAAAAGAAAAGAAATGTTAATAAAGAAGGTGCTGCTCTCCTGGAAACTTGGCCCTAGCTTCCCTTTGGGACATATCCAGGACCACTGATAGCCCAAACCCCAGAGTTGCTGACACACTGGTATTTTCAAAATGCCCCCAACTCCCCCAACTCCCAAATGTGTCCAAGTTATTTCTCTTAATTTCAAAGAGAGCTTCTCAAGGAAAGAAAAACAAAGGCCTTTTGGTTTTGAAACACAAATCAAGACTAATTCAAATATCCCCCTAACCTTCTACCCTAAAAGGATATCTGCATGTTTGTCAAGCAGCCAGTGGACAGAGAGCTCAGGAGTCTGAGTTTGAAAAGACTTCCTTGAGACAACCAGAAGCAGGGGAAGGTTCAAAGTCAACAGCCTTTCAAGCAAAGGGGAGATGGGATGAGGCCTTACCTGAATGAGAGGAAACAGCTTTGCTGCTTGTCTCATCATCTAAAGATGTTTGGGGACTGTGGCAAGATGTCATAGAATCTTTCAGATTGTGTTTGTGGCCCTCAGGAGGGATATGTGACATTGATGTTTCTACGTGACTTCTGATGTTCTTCATCTTGTCACAGATCCACTCCTGGTTTGAATTCAAACTCAGGGAAGATCTTATGGTGTTGCTGGTTCTGTTTACTTTTCTGGTTTTTGTTGTGTGTCTGGTTGGTCTTTTGGTGGATGGTCTGGAAAGAGATATTTTGGTTAGAATATTGATTATTCCTAAATCCCTAACCCCCTAAACCAAGGCTCAAGTGTTGAAGGAAACTATATTCTTTTATTTTCTGTTTTAGATAGCACCTCTCTCTATTACCTGGGCTAGTGTGCAGTGGCATACATAGCTCACAGCAACCTCAAACTCCTAGGTTCAAATGATCCTCCAGTCTCAGGGTCCCAAGTAGCTGGGACTATAGGTATGTGCTACCAAGCCCAGCTAAAAAAAAAAAAAAGCTGTATCATTTTAATTCACTTCTAAGAAATGCTTTAAGAGTAACTAAACTTTCAGAATCATAGAACAAGAAGGATGGAAGGAACCCAAGAGATCATAGAACACATTAGTTTTCAAATTACAATAGAACCTTTGTAAGCTGACCACGCAAGGGACTTTAACAAACTGGTCAACATAAGGAACTAGGCCTACTATACTGATATGTACATGAGGTATATGTCTGATCTATGAAAATTAGGTCATCTTATGGAAGTGGTCAAGGTAGGGAGGTTCTACTGGGTATCTAGAAAGGCCTAGGGTACCAGTGAAGCACCAGGGGATAGGGATATAGCCATAAGGTATAGTTAGAGAACTGGAGCAGGTTATCTAGCTCCAGTGCTCTTTCCACACTATCTGCTTCTTAGGAGACTCTGGCTTCCATGAGCCTTGTTTCCAGACTCCTGTCTCCAGGCTCACGTCTTTTCAGACAATCACCTGAATAAGTCCCCTTCCAAGAATCTCTTCCTGCTTTCCCAACCAACTTCTGACCCCGTTTCCCTATATGTAACATGAGGATATTACTATCAAACTTAGAGTCGCAATGAGAATTAAAATACTGGCTTGGTGCCTGTGACTCAAGTGGCTAAGGCACCAGCCACATACACCTAAGGTGGTGGGTTCGAATCCAGCCCGGCCCACCAAACAACAACGGCTGAAACCAAAAAATAGCCAGGCGTTGTGGCTGGCACCTGTGGTCCCAGCTACTTGGGAGGCTGAGGCAGGAGAATCGCTCAAGCCCAGGAGTTGGAGGTTGCCGTGAGCTGTGATGCCAGAGCACTCTACCCAGGGGGGCAGCTTGAGACTCTGTCTCAAAAAAAAAAAAAAAAAGAATTAAAATACTACACAGGTAGTATAAAATGCCTGGTATATAGCAGCCATTCAATCAATGTACCCTTCTCTGGTTTTTATGAGACAACATTATCCAATGTGAACAAAAGTAGTTTGGAGTCAGATGTATGTGGGTTTGAATCGGGGCTCCACCCTTTCTTTAGTTGTGTGATGTTGAACAAATAAAGCCCCTAAATTTCTCTGCAGCTCAGTTTCTCAGTTTCTTCGCACAAATGGGGATGATGACCCTCACCAACCAAGGCCATTTTGTTTCTGTGAAGTGTCTGACATAGTGTTTAGTACAAACTATGAGCTCAATCAATAATGTCATTTAGCATTCTAAGAATGCCAATCATAATTCCCCAGTTTATTTGGATAATTTCACTGAGTGACTTACCTTGAACTTTTCATCTGTGTCAAAGGGTCTCTCTCTCTCATGCCTTTTTGTTTAAAGGATTTCAAATCGCCATTAAAATATGTTTTCATCTCCTTATGAACCTGGCCAGTAGTGGCTTCTAGAAACATCAGCCTGTGTGACATTTTCTTGGCTCTGAGTTGGGCAGGTGAATCTCTGCCATTTTGAATGGCTAAGGAACAAAAAGAACAAAAGCAAAACTGGAATTTCAATGACAAATTCAAGAAAAAATGAAGATCCTGCTCCTGATACGATGGTGAAGGTAGGCAGAGTCAGGCAGCAATATTCTAGAGAGGCAGCCCCGTAGCCCCTGAGCTGTTTCACCTTCCTGAGTCAGGGCCCAGACCACTGCCCAACACCTGGAGGAACTTGTCTTCTTTCCCTTGCTAGGAAAGAATATTAGGCCAGAGGCAGGGGTGCCTCAGTTTCTCATGCCTCCCCCTGATCACCGACCTAGCCAATTCCACCTCCGAGTCTGGTCTCACCTCTAGCATTACCTTCTACCTTTAGCTTTCCTCAATGTCCAAAGGCAGACCAAGGGGCTTGGCTTCTACTGCTCTGTTCTTGAATTTTGTTTTGTTTTTGTTTTTTTTTTTTTTTTGAGACAGAGCCTCAAGCTATCACCCTGGGTAGAGTGCCATGGCATCACAGCTCACAGCTACCTCAAACTCAATCACTCAAGCAATTCTCCTGCCTCCGCCTCCCAAGTAGCTGGGATTACAGGCGCCCGCCACAGTGCCCGGCTATTTTTGTTTCAGCCATCACTGTTTGGCAGGCCTGGGCTGGATTCGAACCCACCAGCTCAGATGTATGTGGCTGGCGCCTTAGCCACTTGAGCCACAGGCGCCAAGCCTCTTCTTGAATTTTGATCAAACCTCTTTTAACCCAATAAATTCGTGGAAGTATCATCATTTGTTCATGTGTCTGTCTTTTCACTGGCTAAGGCTCCTTAAAGGGTTACCATCTTTTCATCTCTGAGGGTTACCATCTTTTCATCTCTGCATCCCCAACACCTAGTAGAGGACCTGACTTACCCATTCAAGTATGCCTACAGAATAAATATGGATAAATAGCATTTTCTGAAATGCCAATTACTACTACTATAAAGTGGCTCCTATTCATAAGAGAGTCCGTGATACATTTTGGGAAGGCACTCGTAGCATGACACATTTCAATTTGTTTTACTGAGGTGGAAAGTAGAATTCCACCTGTGGTCAATCACAGATACTTTATGAGGCTCTGAACTATGAAATGCCAGCAATCCTCACTTTCAACAGAGAAAAAGCTGCCACCTATAGTCTATTAGCACGACCTTTATAGTAACAGCAGTAGCAGCTAATATTTATTTAGTATTTACCACATGTCAGACACTACACTTAGCATTACAGAGATTTATTTATCTCATTGAAATATCATGATCACCCTAGGAGAAGGACATTAGCTTCCCCCTTTTTCAGATGGGAAAACTGAGCACAGAGAGGTTAAGTGACCTGCTCAAAGCCACACAGCTCACAAACAGAGAAGCCCTGCAAATGAACCTAGGCACTCTAACTTCTCATGCTAACTAACAGAAAACATTTGGACCAAGCAAACCTGATGGAAATATGTCATCGAAAGAGGAGTCGTCATCATCACTTTCAGACTCATCCTCATCGTCAGCTTCATTCTCGTCATATGTTTTTCTGCTGGATGTTTCTGCAGCCTATGATTAAAATAGAAAATATATATTATTTCTAATATTCAATCATCCTGGCTAAAACTTCAAAGTCAGATTTCAAAGCTGAATTAATCACTAACTTTTATCATTTCAACTAAAAGTAAAACATCTAACTAGACCCAAGAGTTGACAGGGGACAGGGACAGGTGGCCCTAGTTGCATCTTTCAGCTAGGAAAAGTCACTCAAGAATGAAAGATTTCCTGAGCAGGGCTCAAGGGACTAGAGCTTTGGGTTGGTATGTATTCTCTGTCTTCCAGGGATCCTGACTAATGCAGGATAGGGCCAATCAGTGAATAGCTAAAACGTTTTGGGCTGCTGCTTCAGGTAAAACTTCTCAGGCCCATGAGTTGAATGAACCTTGAGATGGTAACTCCCATAACTTTTTTAGAAATGATGTTTCTGGGCCAGGCGTGGTGGCTCACGCCTATAATAGTAGCACTCAGGGTGGCCCAAGCGGGTGGATTCCTTGAGCTCATGAGTTTGAGACCAGCTTGAACAAGAACAAGACCCTGTCTCTAAAAACAGCTGGGTATTGTGGTGGTTGCCTGTAGTCCCAACTACTCAGGAGGCTGAGACAAGAGGATCACTTTAGCCCAGGAGGTACCAAGGGCGACAAAGTAAGACTTTGTCTTAAAAAAAAAAAAAAAGAACAAAAGAAATGTTTCTACTCTAAATTCTCATGCTACTCAATGATACGAATAACTACAACTGAACAATTCTAAAAAGGCAAAATGTCAGCATTGTATCACAAAACATAAAAATCACTGAGTGTGGGCTCAGTGCACACAGCTCACTGGTTAGGGCACCAGCCACGTGCAATGGGGCTGGTGGGCTCAGGCTTGAGCCCAGCCCAGGCCTGCTAAACAACAACCACAACAACAACAACAAAAAGCCAGGCGTTGTGGCGGGCACCTGTAGTCCCAGCTACTTGGGAGGCTGAGGCAAGAGAATCGCTTAAGCCCAAGAGTTTGAGGTTGCTGTTAGC